CAGCGTGACTGTTGTTACAGCTCTTTGTTGTTATCATGTTGTTTATCATAGTAACAATATTTCCTAAAAATGAATCATTGTTCATTATATAATTTCTTTTTAATATTATTCTTCACTTTCTAATTAAATCTGTAAAATATTGTTGTACTCAATCTGTTATTGTGCAAGTACTTTATTTTGTATTCAAGTATAAATAATTGTTGATGAGCCTAATAAATAAAATAATATAGCTGTATCCCGATCAATTAATATTAAGCCAAATAAACAGTGTGAAATACTTCTGTTTGTTTTTATTTATCTCCTCTAGGTATATGTAATGATTTGGTCATTTTATACACAACTACACTGTATTTCTCGATATTGGTTATAATATGTATACTGAGTGCCAAGCACGAATAAGTATCGCATTCGTAACGTAATAGTATCGAGCGCGTTCGGCGTTCTGATTGGCCGGCTCAAGTGAACGAACCAATCAGAACGCTTTATTCGCTCGATTCTGTTACGATACGAATGCGATAGTTATTCGTGCTTGGCCCTCTGATCAAGATGTTAAAGGTAATTATCGAGAAATGCACTGTACTTGTGTATAAAATGCTATACAAAGAATAAGTCGATACAAAGAATATACCGCGTGTTTTGAAATTCCCGCCCTGGTTTCTTTTACTTAGTAGTAGGAGGGCAAGGCATAGATGGCGTTCGTCGGTAAGGTAAAATTTCCTCGCGAAATTTGTATGGAGTCGTTATTCTTCCCTTAGGGTATATATGTTCTGTGGTTTTTAGTCAGTAAGAGTCTGACACTCTCCCGCCTTACCCAGGCGGGAGCAGTCATTCGATGATTTTCCCCCCTTATAAAAAATCGTGCCTGTCACTGTCATCATTGCCAGTAAAGATAAGATAAGGTTGCCAAAGAAAAAAATTATAACCTAACTAAGTGTCAAATGTCAATGTCATTAATGTCATACAGCACACAGGCACAGCACAGCGAACAGCGCAGCGCTCCAGTCAGCGTTATCAACCCTACTGTTTCAACAGTAGATTTGCTGTTTTCACATTGATGACCATGTTTTCTGTTTAATTCCTATTTTTTACTGTTTTTCGCGTTCAGCGCCACCTAATACATACATTCCCTACATTGTGTGAATTGGTAAAACAGCTTTTGTGCCTATCACATAGGAGCGCCGCCGTGAAAAGGTTATTTTCTGCTATAAATATTATGAAAGCCAAATAACGCAATAGAATATCGACTACAATTATTAAAGGAGTATTGCACACTAAATCCGAAATAACGGATGGCTATTCATTTGAAGCTACAGAAAAGCACATGAAGAAATTCAACAAAAACATGAACCTATGATTTTAAAAATAAAAATGAGTGTGTAAATATTGAAGATGAGGCAATTGAAAATGAAACTGAAAAATAATTTTACTTTGATTTTTGTTTTATGTTGCTGTGATTATAAATATATCAATTTATGTGAGTTCTAGTAACTAAGAAAGTAGTTTATTATTTAACTATATGAGCAAAATTATGAAATCTGCCTTTTTTTCTGTACCTAGAGTCCATTTCACGAAAGAAGTCCCGCGGACAATTGTGGAACTAAATTTGACAAATGGGGAGTTCGGCCATGTTGTCGTTTGTCGATGTTGTCAAGGTGGGTTTGTTGTGGTAGATATTTTGTGAGTTTATTATTAAATTAGTGCATTATAAGGTTTATTTACGATGCCAAAA